AGTAATTCTATAAACAATCTCAAGCAAGAAAAAACATTATTGGTAGCTTGAACGTACCGTCTTTACCATAGAAATAGCAATGCCTTGACAATCAATTCATAGCAATATTGCAGATTTGTCAATTTTTGCATGCAACTGCATTTCCAATCACAAGTAATAAAGAAATTGACTACTGTGCACATCACATAATATCGATGTCAGGACTACAGCACTGCAGGCAAGAATAAGTCGACAGTACAATATTGACATCCTTAACAGTGCTTTTCAGGTTTCGGTAGGAGATTCACGACACTATTTGACTGTCTTCATAGCCTATCGTGCTTTGATATTAATAATCTGCCCACAAAACTGGCGATCGCCACATTGTGTATGTCAAACAGCCCACCAAAGCTTCTGGTACGACCAGTACCAAGATAAAAAATCTACAAACAAGCCATTCACTAATCCGCCACCCAACACCGCGTTCGCGACGAGAAAAGCGGTTGCCGTCAGCTTTCGTGTGTTTCGAGGTGTTTTTAGGTCTGGCTGCCAGATGCTGCGAGTTCTTGCTGTCGTCACAAAACCATTCCATGACGCCATTAGAGAATGACGTAATGGGGAGCATTTTACAAGCTTCGAAATTTTGCTACTTGGGGCCGTTTTTGAACCTTGAAAGTTATCAAAAGTTACAAGCAAGCTTTTCCCATCATACCTGATGCTTATCTCAAAATTTCCAAATGTGGAACACTCCTTTTAACAGAAAACGCAATCAAGAAATGCATCGCAGATCGGTGCTCCAGCAAGTTCGCTAAAACGGGGGACCTTCTGCGTGAGCAAATGGAACTTGTTGGTCGTCTGGCCGTCACCGCGGACGTCTTCAAGCTCGAATCATGCGAGTCGCTGCCCCAGCAGAGACCCTCCCGCATTTCTAAATAGATCAGATCTAAATAAATAATTCAAAAGCCATGAGTCACCGCACACCCCTCGCCGCAGTCCCAGAGTCAAGTAGAATGCCTGAGATGCCGTGCAAGAGAGAATGAAGCGAAAGCGCTTCTGAAATTATTTCTAAAAGGTGCTGCCTAGCGGCACGATAAATCGATCGGGGTTAGGTGAAGTGAGTGACATTTTCAGAAGGGAAGCCGCACCACACGATTGATCATCAATTGTTTTAATTTGATATCTATGCGCGTTCAAGGCATAGTGCTCAAGGAATGTTATATGGTGAAGTGCAGTGTGGACAGTGCTGCTTATTTTTTTCGTAAAAGTTATTTGATGGTGGAGCCTCCCCCCCCCCTCCCCCCTCTGGGACAGAGCAAGCATGCATGTTGACAGCTGAGTCACTGTTCGGATAAGTAGGAGAGCTACTCCACAAGTTTAGCTATGGCAGGCATAACGGAGCATTGGAAAAGGTGAGACAGTTAAGTGGATGTGCTCTGGCGTTTGCACCGTGAACTTCATGCCTCTATCGTGTTGTGCGGCGGAGGCGACACATGCAATGTAATTAGGGTAGATGGAGCTTGAAACGCAGGGCTGATTTGTTCATGTTGCGTCTTGATGTGGAACGTGTCCTATCCAAGTCAACGCCAGAGTTGTCAGTCGCGGTCCTGACATGTGCTGCTGTCACTAGGTTTGCAGGTTATTTAGCCTGAGTGAGTCAGTCACGGCGCCGCATCCGTCACACATTTCAGCGCAACAGCCTATGCATGGCTGGATGTAGGTGGCGTAAACCCGAGCTAGCATGGGCCTAGCAGTGTGCCGTGCACGGGTGGGACTGAGCCCTCAATTCACGCTTTTCGTCACCTCACTGATGTGGCCGTGGAAGCATACGTCTTCGAAAGAAGTTATCTCCAAATCTTTGTAGCCGTCCTTAGTTGGGATAGGTTTGCCTCCAAAAAGTCTTAGCCCTGTTTAGTATGGTTCCGTTCATGAATGGTGGCTGCATTCTCCTGTCTGCATGCAATGTGATGGCCCACTCCCTACCATGAACACAACTTTTGTCGAGGTTTTCTACAGTGATGTTGCATGACATCCACGTTGTCTGGGACGTGGGTGGAGTACCGCAAAGATCTGCGTCAGAAAAAAAATGTCGTGTGTCGTCTTATGCGGAAGTCCCGCTGGATAAATACGCACAAAGAGTGGATTTAGCACGGCTTCTGTGGGTATTCTACATTGCTTGTCTTTGGCGCCCAAGAGGTGCTCCCCACTTTAGGTGCATTCTGTTGCTAATATTTCACTTGAACCACCAGAGGAGCAAATCATGCATACCAATCATGTTTAGCCATTTACAGGTGTCCGCGTGTCAGATCTCGTCCGAGTCCTTATATACCAACGTAGATGGTTATGAAGTCTCACCGCGGCTCCAGTATCTGACTCAGACTGTGTGCGAGGTACATGAGTTGTGGTGTGTGGCTGTGATGGGGTCGACATCCGCTCTGTCGTTCAAGTGAAGGCTGATATGCTTGAGATAAGATAGCAGTAATAGCCTTATTCCTCGTAGAAAAAAAAACAGAAGAATGGAGATATAGGTGCGTTAATATCTCGGCAACGTGCCTGTATCGAAACGAATAGCAGTAGTAAATTAAAACTTGCCTTCCGACGAACCTACTCGATTTTCCACCGGTTTCGTCTGTGGGATATTGGTTAAGATAGTCTCTTTGGTAGCCTAGGTCATTTGCCCATGTGAATTGCTCTGTGGCATTGGCGATGTCAGCTAATATAATTTTCCTGCCAGTATAAATGAGCCGTCTGGTGGAAACATATACATCCAACTTGTATTAGTCCCAGATTAATTTGCATCGAGGGTAATTTTTTAAAGAAACGTTCAATTACAAAGAAGCAAATATTGAAAATGGTCAAGATTTGAGGACGACAGCGTTGCATCCAAGCGGCCGCCAGGGCATAAAGGTGAGACGCGTTGTCGGTGAGTCCGGATAGTTCGCTCACCAGTTGACGCCAGCCTGCCAGCCTGCCTGCCTGGCAGCCAGCCTGGCGTGTCAGCTGAGCCTTCAATCCTATGGCAAAGGGTATGCGCCGTTATGTCGTAAATATCGTCATCCCGACGATGTTTCTAGCATCGAACCCATCAAGTACCACTGAAGTACACAATTTCGGGAAAGACATAATTGGCCTGTCACAGCGCACACAGGAAACTGCCGTCCGCTTCCGGGCTTGGCTCGCTTTGGAGGCCTAAAACCTGGTACGGGCCACTGTCAGTCCCCTTCAGATAAAAACATCCAACGGAGCACTCGCCATGCCCCCATAACGCCTTCATGCCGCAACGAACGCTGCGGCTGGCGTTGTCACGCGCCTCTTGTACGTATCTATCTCCCATGTTGGTGCTGCAAACGCAACCTGGGTAGTCCCCTGACTTCCTGGGACCCAGAAGTACTGATTGCTGCTGCAATACCGTCGTCTAAGCAATGACAGGCTGGGCATCCGAAAGCAAACAGTCCAGGGCTTGCGTAAGATTCTGCGCTGTATGTCTTTCAATGACAAACCATATGGACCTTAACAATGCACACCTACTTGGCCAGTCGCCGGCTGGATCCGGGACCGCACGATCTGCAACAGCCCAATCTTCCCCAAGCCGCCGTCGCTGGCCAGCAGCAGCCCCCGCCGGCCGGAACGTACAAACATGTGTTAGCTATGTTTGAACCATGGCGCACCGCGCCCGACCCGTCCGGCGCCCAGGGGCGCGCCGACATCGTCGGCATCCTCCGTCCGTCGCGCCGCCATGGGGCGGGGTGGGCGTGGCAGCGCGCCCCGCACTCACACACGGTCACGTGACTTTCGCCGGCCGACCAGTCCGGGCGCGACAGCAGAGCACGTGGTCTGCGTCCGCCGCCGCGCGGGCCGGCGCGCCGATCGCTCCACGAGCAGGGTCCCACCAGGGACGCTCACGGCCTGCCGATATGGGGCGCGTCGCAGCGAATAATCCCGTAGGATGTATTCGCAGCGCCGCAGACAGAAACAAGCCGTGCCGCTGACGTCATTCATGACGTCCAAACCCCGTGGGTTCTGCGCATTTCAGTTGTTCGCATCCACCAGAACATTCTGCGTGATGTCACGCAGAATCTTTGCCGAACGCATCGGATCTTTTCCATTTGTTTAATCGAAGAGGGACGGAGGTGGCGCAACAGGCTCATTCATTAACAAGTCGGTTTGTGCGCCCACGACCGATAACGGCTGAACAAAAGGTATTTCATCAATTACAACTAGCATAACTTGCAGTTTTCGTTCTGTGCTCGCATAGCACGTGAGCACCAATAGTGCGTGAGCACCAAAACCCAACTGTCTCGTATGCGCAGTTGTCATCACAAAAGTAACAGGAAGGTCAACAAAAAAACGTGTTGCACTGCGAACACGTCCGTCAGAGTATTCGTGGTGTCACATCGCACAGGACATGCTTGGTATGCTGCGAGTGACCCTGATGCGCTGCGAACACATCCTGGTATAAAAGGGGGAAGGGGGGGGGGGGCGCCGCCCGAAAAAAGCGCCTCCCGGCGACAGGGGCGTGTGCAGGACCGCAAAATGGGGACGCGCTGGACGCTCACTAGCGCAGCAGGCCTGCGAGCTAGAAGCAGCACTAATGTATAATTCCGAGAGCTGACATGAGAAGCATGTTTGACAAGTCATCCATCTCAGTAGCCTTGCGCAGATCTGCAAATCTCGAATATTTGGTAAAAGGCCTCAGATTAGGCTTCGTTGCTTTGGGCGGCGGGAAATTCGTTGCTTTGGGCGCACATTGGACCAGCAAATTCGGGGGTGCGCCTGCTGTCCGCCGGCTGAAGCGCCGCCCCAAACAGCTGGGCCGAAAGAATCCTGTCACGCACCGCCTACTCGGCTAATCCTACCACCTTTTCTGCACGGAGACAGATGTATAAGGGAAATGTCCGATTTCTGTCAGGACATGTCGCCTTTCTCTCCACGGGATATCTGCTTTGTCCATCAGCACGCGCTCACAACACACACGACAAAGCCCGATGCCGGGGTGCCACGCTGTGGCGCCGCCTGACACTCACCGCCGAAGTGATTCCGATCAGTTTACTCCCCACGGCCACATTGTACCGCCCGCAGCAGCAGTCGTTGGATCCCATGGTGACGCAGTCGACGTTCTCGCCCCTCCACCGTCCTGGCCCCGGCTCTGTCTGACGGCGGTCCGCTCGACAGGCAGCGTTTCGGCGGCCAGCCAATAGCCGCCCGCCTGGCGCCGTTCGCGTACATACACACCACACACACACACACACGCTCGCTCACGAACGGCTCCGCTGGGGCTGGCGGCGGGTTGGTTCTTACATTTGATTAATTGTTTTACTGCTTCGGACCATCCACACAATATGCAGCTAGTCCTACCACAGCGTGATACAGATAAGAAATAGGAGGCACCTGGGCTGAGCAGGGCTGTTGATATCCAACCAATCGTATGCCTGCGCGTTGAATGAACGGGCACTCGCTGTGGACTACAACGCTGCGCGAGAAAACATATGTGAAGACAGCGATGAACAGCGTCAATGGTGAAAAATAGGGAACTACGAGGAGCATCAGTCATGATAGCAAGCTAGGTCACATGCTCACATTTTGATAACGCAGGCTCCAGTTCTGGTTTAAACGAGCCGAGCCGAGCCTCCGACAGACGCGGCAGGCAGCCTGCTGGACAGCGGGCACGGAATGCAAAACATCGTCTGACGCCTCGGCGCGCATACGCGGCGCGTAAAGTCGATTGTCCTGCATTGTCCGTCTAGAGGGAAACTGAACTTAGGTTTGGCCGGAAAGAGCTACCCGAGATGCCGGCTCACGCCACCGCCAGGCACAGTGTGTGGGAGCGACAAAGGATCACTGCATGGAGGTAAACCAGCCTGGTCATCCCAAAACGTCCGAAATGTAATCGAATCTTCGCCCGCCAGGCACAAAACATGCCCAAAATTTCCACGCCCCTTAAAGGTGCTCGTGGTTTTTGCTATAACAGGCGCCAACTACAGATAAGCAGCACCGTACGTGTGAGAGGATCACGCCGTTCGTTACGGTGTCAATCAGGGCGGTGCAGCAGAGGGGGGGGGGGGGGGGCAGAGGGGGTAGTTGTCCACCTGCCGGCAGGTAAGAGAATGCTTTTGCTCCCTCAGAATTTCTGGGAAGCCACTTTTTCCCGAACCAAATGCACTGTAACAACCGGTAGATCACCAAAAGTCAGAGTGAGGAGGCCCCCCATCACTAAGTTAAAGAGTTATACATCGAGCTCAGAAGCCCCTTTTCGCATCAAAAGGCCAATTTTCTGGACCATAAGGCGACCTTTTATGAATGGGATAGCCCATCGTCCAGATTGTAAGCCACATGTTATGTTAAGAGAGGCCCATTTGCTGGGTCAGGAGGCCCCCAGTTGCCAACTAGGAGGCTCCTGTCCTAGTTGAGGCGGCACCCTTTATATTTAGGAGACCCCATTTCTGGAACAGGAAACCTTTTTCATTCAGGATGCCCAGCATGCAATGGCCAGGATGCCCGTGCTTCAGGATGCCCTGGCTTGGAATAGCAAGGCGCCTTAGCTAGTTTCGGAGACCCTTCGTGAATTGGAAACATCCTTTTCTTAGGCTTAGGAGACCCCTGTAAGCACCGGGATGGCCTTTTCTGGAACAGGAAGTCATGTTTTAGGATAGCGGGGCCCTTCGCTGGATAATCTGAAGGTCCTCATTCTGATTTTTAATTGTCGAGATTGATTTACTTGGATATGATACATGTAACAGCTTAATAAGGGGCACATGCCCCCGGTGGCCTTCCCCCTTAAATACGACACTGCCTAGGGGCCCCGCCCTGTGAGGGGTCCTCGTTTTGTCCCGGAGGCCCGCTGGAGAATCCTGCCCTAGAACACAAAACCCATGGTGCCGGCCATGGTGGCAATCACGACTTGAGGAAAATACCGAGTGTGACCGACTTCGACCAGTAGCCCAAAGCAGCTGTTTGACCATTAGCCCAAAGCAGCCGTTTGACCATTAGCCCAAAGCAGCTGTTTGCAACATGCGCTATACTGGCGTCCTGAGCCAGGCATACATCGACGGTACCAGCCAGGTTACACACGGAAACTTCAGGGCTGATGGTCTGTTCACGGAATCTTCAGGGCTAGTGGTCTGTTTACGGCAGCTTCAAGGCTGATGGTCTGTTCACGGCAGCTTCAGCCTGATGGTCTGTTCACGGAAGCTTCAGGGCTGATGATCTGTTCACGACATCTTCAGGGCTGATGGTCTGTTCACGGCAGCTTCAGGCTGATGGTCTGTTCACGGCATCTTCAGGGCTGATGGTCTGTTCACGGCAGCTTCGGGGCTGATGGTCTGTTTACGGAAGCTTCAGGCTGCTGGCCTGTTCACAGAAGCTTCAGGCTGATGGTCTGTTCACGGCAGCTTCGGGGCTGATGGTCTGTTCACGGCAGCTTCGGGGCTGATGGTCTGTTCACGGCAGCTTCAGGGCTGATGGTCTGTTCACGGCAGCTTCAGGCTGGTGGTCTGTTCACGGCAGCTTCAAGGCTGATGGTCTGTTCACAGAAGCTTCAGGCTGATGGTCTGTTCACGGCAGCTTCGGGGCTGAAGGTCTGTTTACGGCAGCTTCAGGCTGATGATCTGTTTACGGCAGCTTCAGGGCTGATGGTGTCTGTTCACGGCAGCTTCAGGCTGATGGTCTGTTCACGGCAGCTTCAAGGCTGATGGTCTGTTCACGACAGCTTCAGGGCTGATGGTCTGTTCACGGCAGCTTCAGGCTGATGGTCTCTTTACGGCAGCTTCAGGCTGATGATCTGTTTACGGCAGCTTCAGGGCTGATGGTCTGTTCACGGCAGCTCCAGGGCTGATGGTCTGTTGACGGCAGCTGATTCGATGCAGTGAATACTACTGATGATCCGTTGACTGCCACACTCCATCAACTGAGTTCCCGATGCGTTTATGTTTGAGGTGTTAGCTCTGAACCGCGCGTCCATGGAGGTCAAAGAGCGTTTCATGCGATCATCCAGAGCACCTGGATCATCTTTTGCCCCCGACACTAAAATTTGCGTGTCGTCGGCGCAGTGGACAACATGGCCTCCGGGGCGAAGTGCCTCACATCTCGGCAAACACGCTTTACAGCAATGGCCCCAGGACAGAAGGCTGGACAACACCAGCGCTGTTCTGTAGCAGCAGCAGCCGAGACAGGTGCCCGCGCCCGAATCTCAATCCTGAAACATCTGAAATCCTGAACGGGATTTCATACGTGCTTGGAATGTCACTACGAACACATTTTTCTGTCGGTAACCCTGAAGTCAGCGTTACTGAAATAGCGAAGACGCTCATGCTACTAGCTTGGAGCTCTGTTTGAATGTTTTTTTCTTGGCTTCTGGGAATTCGGATGACATGCAATGTTGAACTGGGTTATAGCATTGCTTTCTCTCTCAGCTATGCTAAAAAGTGCAAGCACCCGATGACCGCATGGTAGATATCAGCTCGTTCCGTTGGCTGCCTAAGTTCGCACATGTGAGCCACATGGACTTATGACCTAGTCTCGAGCTGTGCGGTCTCCAAGCAGGCCTCGTGACAGCTCAAACATCAGCCCTCATACGGGCGCACTCCCAAGCTTAACAGCCTCCATATTAAACAATTGCTCGAAAGTGACGGTGACGGAAATGAACGCCCTTACGTCGTGGGGAGCTTGGCTGTCGTTGATGTCATTGGTACC